AATCGCAAAGATCATATTAACGTATTATTTTATAAATTAATAAAGTTTGTACATTGGCTCAATAACTGAATTCATTGAACCAATGTATCGAAATGTCGAAGGATTTTTCATTGACTCAATGAAGTCTTTCGTTATTATAATGAATCCATGGCAGATTTTTCAATGTACATATTTATTGTTACAATGAATTGTAGTAATAGTTTAATATTCAAATTATTCTTTTATAAACCATAAATCATTATAATAATAAATTAATTCATTGAACCAATTTTAATGAATTTTTTATTACTATAATGAATGTTTTTATTACATTCATGTACATTTTTGGTTCAGTGTCGGTATATTCCGGGACATTTGGCAGTTTCCTGGAAAAAATTCATGTCCTACGGCAATTTTCGGGACAGTTTTTTGAATCTGATTACATATATATGCGTTATATTCCAGATAAATTTGCATAGCGCATAAACATAAGCGTAAGAAATTGATTGGTTTATATGTATATGTGCAAAAAAAAATAGACCAATTCATTTCTTTATGCATATGCTTATGCACCTATGCAAGTTTGTCTGGGTTGACCTTAAAAAAGCAGCGCCAAGTTTTTTACGCCATGTATTAATAAATTATTGCTATTCGAAATCATGTAACAGCATGAATGCTTCATAGCGTATTTTGGATTAATAAATTATATGTTAAAATCATGCGGCAATGATTAGTAAAATATGTCAAATACGTATATGTACAATTCATGATACGTATTGTACATTTAAAGCCTCGTAAAGCTAAATTCTAATACAATAATTGTATTAATTGTAATAATTAATTATTACTGTTAATTTTGGAATCAGTGAAACGATGATTTAATATCTTTCAAAAGATTTTCTTTCGATGCGTTGTAATCAATATTTCAAACGTGAACATAATCGAACTTAATATATTCGCGGCTATACTTATTCCTTACCGTGCTCTGAACGAGATTAGCATTACACAAAAAGTTAAAGCTTTTTGAAAAATTTCAATGAATTTTCATAAGTCCCTACGTACAGTATAGCAGAGTGATAAAATATTCGTAGTGAACTGATACCCTATTAAGAACCGGCCTGACGAGTGTCTCGATTAACATCATGTGTTAATTCAAGAGACAGCTCTGACTTCCATGCGGACAATTTACAACATGGCGAACAATTACAAGGACGAAAGCGGAGGGTCGTTATTAGGGCATAATTTGCGAAACTCGAAATTGTCGGCCGAGGCGGTATGAGACAGGCACGACAGATTTATCGTCGACTTATTGTTGGTGTTCGTTTAGCGATCGATAGGGAGTAGTGAGTTAGCAGATATAATCTCGCGGCGCGATAATTATTTAACGAGCTGTTTCAATGTTGAATTTTTGTCTCGCATTCTTGCGCACGAACTCTCTTGCACGTGGTTAACCACGCACCGCCGCCGGACCGACTCTGCTACGCTGGCTGCGCACGCCCGAGCAACAGACTTATTACACACGATGTAATTAGTTCTCAGTGATTGGAAGTATAAACCACACTTGTACCTTATTCAGGATATTAATGATTCAATGCGCAGCGTATGGCAACGCTTCTATTCTCATTTCCTCGACGATAGAACCGATATTTAATAAGGGAATCTTATCTTCTCATGCATTTTAACTAAAATCTTATGGAATTTTCCAACAAATGAGCTTCACAATTTTCAGCACAAAAAAAAAACATCTTTAGAGAAACTGTTTTAACTAATTTTAAGAAAAATTTTTTGTCTTTTTTCATGTATTTTATAAACTATAGTACTTACGTTATTTTTACAAGCAATTTTTGATAAAAATATTATTATTTAAAATGATTAATTAAGCCGTTTTTTGGTGACAATTAATAGTTTATTTTTCGCAGAATCCAGTTGCATTAATATCAATAAATATGATTTTTTTAATGATTACATTAGATATCACTATAAGTGTTTCTTCATTGAGACATCTATATTGAAACATTTTTTACATTATACGTCTTAATTTTTTTCCTTTAACACTTAAGTGGATATAAAATTGGTAAATGAGCATGAGGCATTGTTGCACGGTTGGATGTGTCATTATTTTTGGTTAGACATATATAGCCTCTTATAGAGAAATGTCGGTATCGAGTAAAACGGAATCAGTATTGCCGGGTGACTCGGAGTCGCGATAACGAATCTTCGTAACGATCGCACTTAATTACGAGTCGCGGTGCCAAGATTTCACCCTGACACCTTTAATTAACACGAGCTCTGTAGGTACTCTGTAGGACATATTTATGACAATCACGCAAGTCAAGGGTTGAAGCATCTCTTTCTTCTTTCGAAGGGTATTTTCCATTTTTTTTCGCACGGAATGGTATACCTCCGTGTTGTATAATATAATCACAAAGATATCTTATTTATTTTTTTATAAATAATTATTATATACTTTAATGAAACACTATCTTAATAACATAACATAAGATTGAAATTAATTAAAAAGTTATAAAAAATTAAATTATTAGATTCATACATGGAAAAAATAACACAAAATATAGAAGCTTCTTCCAATAATTATACATATATTATTGTCTAAAATCGATAACTGATGAATACTGCAATTGGTTGCAAGGAATAAGATAAATCATAAAATATATAAATAATAAATATTATTTATTATTTACGCTAGTTTTGTAGCAAGTAACATTTTCACACGAATTATACATTTTGCTTGAACTGTTAAATGTGTTAGACGATACACTTACTAACGGATGCGCGTATTTCTTGAAAATTGTTCGAGTAGTGTTTCTCATGGAAAATCTTTGGACATTCAAACAGATATGTAACACCTGGCGACAGGTGCTAGGAAGCATATCCGTGCTGTCTCATACTAAATATCCGGAAGGGTTCTGTCTAGTAATTTCATGGATATTACCAGGATATACTAAGAATATCTGTTATTATTTACGTCTTTCACTTAGAGAAAAAACATTTAAAACATAAATGCATAGATCTCTGGTCCAATATCTATAGCATTTCAAGATATGTGTTTTACAAATATATTAGTATCAGTAATAAATGCATATATAATAAAACTATGCATATTATTTATATAAAATATAAAATAGTATATAAAAGGATAAATAGAATAGAATACAATATAAATGTAATGTATAGTCTCTTTAATTAGAGCGTATATCAATTTCATAAATTTATAGCACCATCAGTTTACCTGTGTTGAAATATATGTGGATTATCGCATGAATTGGTACAACGATGACAGTAGGGATAGAAAATTCATTTTCGAACACTGTAATTATGAATATCCAGTTTTCTTCAGGTATAATAATTACAGTTACAATGTTTCCCCAATACTTAACTTTTATATATTACCAGGATACGTAATTCTTAGTGGCTATTATATCCTTATCTTGACGCCTTGATTAATATCCAGCAGGATAACGTGTATTAAAAGAATATTATACGCAATTTATATGTCAGTCATGTTACCACACAAGCGCAAACCGTGTCGCCTTGCAACATCGTGTCCTAACAATAATTTAAGGTTTCGATAACAGGAAAAATCAAGTATTGATCGATATAGTCACTATAATTTTAATATATTTGAATATATTATCGCCCGCTTGTGTTGTCAAGCTTGCTTAAGCCTTCTACATTCGTAGATTATCTTACGACGCAATTTCTATGCCGTATTGGTGCATGAGACAACTCACTTCGCGAGAGCAAAAGGACCGAATGTGTTAGAAGTTGTTGCATCAGAACGATAACTTGCGATTTAATTAAAACACACGCGTGATAGTGGTTATTCGCACTACATTAAATATAGTAAATATAGTAAATAAAACTGCATACATATAATACATAGCTAATTTCCCCCTTCCATAGTTAAAACAATATTGACTTTTACTTTAATAATATTTTGTGCGTGTGTCGATTATTTTATTACTATGTATATCTATACATATTTTTTATATTTTCACATTTTTCACCGCGGTACTTGTTTCACTAATTTTGTTCCAACAAACTGGATTTGGCGGATCTTGCGACACAGTTAACTCGCATACATGTGTGAAACGTACAGTATGAACGTCCGTTGATTTTTTAACTTCTGCCACAATTTCCGGTTTTTTCTTCCATCTTTCGCGGTTTCCTTCGTGACCTTCTCACAGGATACTTCATCCTGTTCAACAAAATAGTTTCCGCTTTTTTCAACTGCCTATTACCCTTTCCAAAATACGATTTTTAAATATATTTTCCGTCAAAAATTGTTAATTCTCTGGAAGGCTAATCATGTATAAAAAAATTCAAATTTTCTTTCTTTTTTTATTTTTTAACTTCTTTTTTCTATAGTTAAAATGCATTGTTGTAAAATTTGTTAAATCAAAAAATTAAAAGAATTGATTTAATGACAATCTTTTATTTATAACTTAATATTTTATATATTATAATTAAGTATCTCAATATCTATTGTTAGTTAAAAATCTAGTACAATAATCTGCTGTCGTAAAACTCGCCAAAATCATTATTATTACATTATTAATACTATGCAAATCTATTTTCTATAAAACTTTTTTTAATATATAAATTAAATTTCTGAGAAGTCCTTCGTGTATGTCTACTTTAAACGACCCTTAATTTTTTTGCAGTTATTTTTGAATCCTCTATTTTTTTCAATTGGCTTTTTTCAACGTTCTTCTCTCGTGGTTCAATTTCTTTGACGATATAAAACTCCTCCGTAAGCCTCATTTGTATCTCGCGATCAGATCGACTACTTTAATGGTTCTTGACATGGCATGTTCTAACAGTACGTAAATAAATAACCAAGATTCCATCCCAATAATTAACTTTTTATTAAACGTAAATATTACATATACGTGCAATCGATCGCCAATCTTTATAAATTCTTTTTGATATTCTAAAAATTGTTAACAAAATAATTCATAAATTTTTTTCCAAAGTAAATAATGGATTAAATTTTAATCTCTTATGAATTTTTCCCTTTCTTGTTAATAAACACACAAAAAGTTGAAGAAGGAACACGTTTTTTCTTCATCTTTAACATTACTGTCGTCGTCAATCTCAGTTTTCTCCTCGTAGATCACTGCAATTCCTTTGGCGTTTCTTTCTTCGATCTCTCTCTTGGCCTCTTTCTAAGCGATTCTTTTTCTACGTATATATAACATTGTACTTCCTTTTTAATTTTAATGTTACTCTCTTCGTCGATCTTAGCTTCTTTCTCTTTATCTACCAATCTTAGTTACTTGTGAATACTGTGATTACTGTGAACTCAGATCGACCATTGCTTCCGTGGACAGCTAGTACAATAGTTTTTCGTTATTATTTTCTTTACCTTCTTAACGGATTCTCTCGCTAAGAGTACTAGTGAATATTTCATCTAGAGATAAAATTGTCTTACTATTAGTTAGGCTTTATTATCTCGTTTAATCTTTCACGTCTCTATCGTCGATATTTTCACCGTCCCCATTTTTTTTCATCAATTCGTCAAGGATCTCTTGTTCTTCAGCCGTGAGAGTCGCTCTATTCACGAAGTCCGCAATATTAGCTGCGTGTATCATCAACAAGCGTTTTCTCTCTTCCTTCGCGCGTTCCGCCTCAACTAGTTCCAATCTCTGTTGCTCTTTAACGATTTCCTCAATCCTAGCAATCTCCTCCTCACGAATCCTGCGGCGGTGCTCAATCAAACTCTCCAGGTCCTTCCGGTACTGTACTTTCATCCTTCTCTTCGCCTCCGCCGTGCACCTCGCCATCTTCTCATCTTCCATAATCTTCCTTATAACTTCCTCGGCCCATGCTCTATCCTCCTCCACAAAACGCAGTTTGCACTGTTCTGTGAAGACTATCTGTTCCCGTAAAGTAGCCGCCAGTTCTTGCTGCATCTTTTTCCTACGCATTGCCTCCTCCATCTCCCTGATTACAAGCTCGCACCTAATCTCTTCAGCTACAAGATCAATCAGTCGCTCTTCCTTCTCTCGTTTTCGAGCCTGAGCGTCCAGCATTATCCTCGTTGTTTCCAGCAGGATACGCTCGCGCCTCTCCATCTGCTCCTGTCGAAGTCTGCTCACCTCCTTCGATCTCTCCTCTATCTCCTTCAAGTACTCTAGATCTTTCAGTCGCTTCTCCTCTTCCGCTTCACGCTCCTCCTGTCGACGAACTTCTCTCATCTCCTCGAAGATCAGTCTCTCTTGCCTCGTCCTCTCCACAAGCTCGGATTTTTTCTCCAGCGCCTTCGACCGTTCCTGTTCCTCCTGCACTCGGTCCACTTCTTCCAAGAACTTCCTGTACTCACGAGCCTCTTCCACAATGACTCTTTTCTCTTCCTCCTTTCGTGTCAACTGCTCGTCCAGCTGCCGCCTGTACGCCTCCGACTTCCGTAAAATCGCCGACCGGCACCGGAGATCCTCCTCCAACACTTCCTGTTGTTCCTTGCGGATCAGGTCGGCGATCTCGCGTTTTCGCACGAGCTCGGCGTATTCGTGAGCCTGTTTCTCATCAAGCTGAGCCTGCAGCCCTTTTACCATATAGGCACGCCGTAATTCAGCCGCCAATTCCGCGATCGCGTCATAAGACTCGCGGTTGCGACAACTGCGACGAAACTTCGCAAAGTACAAAGCGCTCTCGTTGCTCGGGGGTATTTCTTCCATCGTTAATAGTTGGTTTTTGTTCTATTGATCCGAAAGAGATCGTGCGTTCGTACGACAGAGATCGTGGAATTAGATGGGAGCCGTTGATTAGCTGGGCTGCGTTTTAACACGTTGGAAGTTGGTCATAATCTTCTGGTTTCGCCTGCAAGGGTTATGCTAGTTCATTACAGTCTTGTAGAAAATGGATTAACTTAAATGCGGAAATAATAAATGTATCTATACATCTTTAAGAATTCTTATTGCAATTTATGAAGACGTTTGCGATGTATAGCATAAAAGTATAAGATTTAATGTGAGTAGTGATCCAATAATAGGTAAACGTGGCAATAGAATTATGTAATTTTACGCAAATCTTAGAATAAATAAATAATTAGTTAAAAAAATATTAAGGAATAAAGAAATGGCTTACCGGAATCATATGCATATATGATTTATTAAGCCAAATAATGTATTATAATATATAATAATATTATATATTATAATATATTATATATATTATAATATATACTATATACTATTATAATATATACTATATTATAATATAGTATAATATATAATATATAATATATAATAGTATTAAATATTTGTATAGAGTTAAACTTGAGCGATTAAGTTTGGTATTTAAATTCGGTATATTTATTGCGCTATAGTATTCTTCTTAAATAAATCGACCAAATCAATTTTCTGTTTGATGCTACCGTTTTCCAGAATTTTCATTGATTAATAATTACAATATTACAATGGAAACAATAATAATAATAATTTATTTATTATTTAAATAATAATTATTTATTTATTATGCTAATACGTTGACATTTATAATTCATTATAACAATATGTTGACATATACATATAGAGTAATATAAGATTTTACATTTTAATATTTATTGAATAATTACGTAAACTGATCTTTTTACAATTGTATGTGTGCATTGTTGCTAATTAACTCTTTTTTTAATGGCTTGTATACATTATGTACATACATTCTAATTCTGTAAATTAAAATATGCGTATAGGATATCTTCATAGCATACTCTTAAAAAGCTCATGCCGAGGCTCATGCATTAAACATCGCATTATTTGGTCGATTTCTGCTCGTTAAGCGAGCCACATCATATTATGCGTTTTTGTGTCTTTTCTATTCATTCTCTACCGCGCGAAAGCGGACGTGCTAATTAATTAACGCGTCGTCTGATTCGACATCGCGCGACTCACGCGGGAAACATGCCGCGGCACGGCGAGAAAGAAGCGCTCGGCTTGTCAGCAACAAAAAATTTCTCGCGATGCGGCTTGCACCGTTGCTACAAGTCGCATTTGCATCTCGCATGACGCGAGACCTATGCTCGTGTATACCGAGCCGCATCAACGTTCAGATTAACGGTAGCCTTCACGTTGGCTACTACTACTACTTTTTCTTCTTCTTTTTCTTCTCTTTCTCTCCCCCTTCCCCCACAATTTTTCCTTGCGAGATTTAAGCGCGCCTTGGAAATGTTCGCACACGCATTGAATTGGGTTAATCCAGCAGTGAATGGGAGAAGTGAGCTGCGATGCCGCTATACTTTTTCCGTAATAGCTCTATTGTTGATAATAATGAAAATGAAAACTATTGTTAGGTTTCAAGTATTGTGTGTTCGATGCATAAACAAGCCTTGAACTTACTTAGGATCATGATGATTAGGCGCGTTTGCGTGAGATAGGCGCATGTTCGTTGTCGTAATTATATTATAAGATGACTATATTCAATAATTTATATAAATAGCATGAGAATTTACTTATTCATCCTTGAATAAGATTTATCAATAGTAAAGCAATTAGCGATTCTACTAACGATCAAGAAACAGGAAAGTAAAACGGATGTAATTTATGCCATAATATTGTTATTAACAGATATTTAGATTTATCAACGAATTCTTTTTAATTGTTTATCATATAACATTTAATATCTTTAATATATCTATATCGTATCTAATATGATGTACAAATTAAAATAGAAATAATTTATTTATGTTTGTCAGAAGATTAGGAAATCGAGTACTTGCTTTCATATAGGTACATGTAAGAGGATGAAGCACGTTGCATACGAGGATCGATCTAGAACGCGACGAAATGGCTTACAAATCATCCTTCGAGTTTTCTAAAAAGATACCAAGATTGAATCAGCACTCTGTCCCTATGACTTTGACATATGTGTTCTACAATTGCGAGCCGCTTGTTCGACTAAAGCAGCTGCCGGTTTGAGTGCAGGACTGTAATTTACTGAAGTGCCCACACAGTTAGCGTAGGTACGTTTTATCAAAACATCAATGGCAGGATTTTGCAATAACGTTATTGATAGATAATAATTCAAATATCTCTTAGCTTAATATAATATATTATAGCTTGCATCAAGTAAAAAGTACGACTCCAAATTCTCAAAATGTATGAGAATTATTTGGCTTCAATCAATATCAAGACCTACAAATGCATATTACAATTACAAATAACTTTGTTAAAATTACATTCCATTAAAATTGCATTACATATATTGCATTATAAAATAAGAAATTTGCGAATTGTTTTATTATGAAATATTATTTTATACCAGTTTTGTAAAAAAAATTTTTATTAAAAGCAATATTTTATTTTTAAAATGAAAAGTATTAAGGATTATTTCCAAAATACAGAGAAATGTTTAAAACGTATTTTATCACAAAAATTACAAAGATAAAGTATATGATACTTGGAAGATGTTCTCTTTAATATCAAAGAACAAAGCGTCGAGCTTGAGCAGTATCATTCTTGGGCGATTCAAGGTCACTTATTTCATTAAACAGCAGCGACTCTTGCTCAACGAACCGTTTTGATTTATGTATGAGCAACGATATAATTGTTGCTGATCGTTAAAATGTATGTAGACATTACTAATAGCACAATATCGCTTGCCCGGTTTGAGAATAGTTCGAGCATGGCTTTACGCTTTATGCACATGCAACAGATTTTATAGAGTAAAACGTTCTACGAAATTATGAGCATTTCAATCTCGTACATTTAGCAATAATTGTTTTAAAGACGTATTGTGTAGAAAGATTAATGATTGTTCGCGTCCAAGAAAAATTTTTACATTAAATATTTTGAGATTTCTAATCTCCAAGAATAAAACAAAAGAAAGAAAGTTCTACAATTCCATAATAAATTAGAAGCAGACAGCATTTTCACAATTTTTCACTTTTAAATTTAAACTATTACTTTTATTTAGTTTTTAATTTTATTTAATATATATTTAGTTTAGTTTTAAGTTTTATTTTATTTAATTTATAATTTAACTTTTTATTAATGCAATGAATGATAAAAAAAGAGTTTGCACATTTTATCTTCTTAGAAGAAAAATTTAATGTGAAAAAAATGTGTTTTCTTCGGTATACTTAACAATTTCACGAATCCTTTTTGAGTTTATAATGATCATCTGTGCTATCTGGGAAATGTATTCCAATAAAAATACAGTAAAAATGCAGTAATATCTTTCTGACTCATATAAAATTATTCCAAACAAGATAGAGTGTAAACAGTTTTTTTATCCACTGTACATTTGGTTAAGTTAACTTCTCGGGGTTTCCTGAGAAAACTTCAATGTGCACGAAATGTATCAAGATTCCCAGTTGTCACTAATTGTATCACTGTATATACTGAGAGTAAAACCTCGTCAACTAACCCATTCACAGTTAATATATTGATTGTATATCGCATTTTTTCAATGAACGCGGTGACTCCGACCGCACGAGGACGCGTGCGCCGTCGTGGAATTATAACTATGAAAACAAGATAAACGTACCCTTTGTGCGCAGGTCCGTGGACACCAAATTCGTGTATGAACCGCAGCAGCCACGTGCACCAACACACTAAATGTATAACAATCGAAGGTACATCGAGAAACAAAGGAATCTTTATTTCACGCCGGACACGTCGCCGTCGTCGAGACGGACGCAAACCGGGGCGACGAATCTGCGCCGCTTCGGGATCCCTTCGGCGTTTCCGGCCCCGTCGACACGTCGTTCAATTTGCCGGCTCGAAACACGCGACTCGGAGAACGCACGGGTTTAACACGAACGGCACGGCGCGGCGGATTGAGACCGACTAACCGGCTTTCCGCGTCGGAGCACACGCGAGCCACAGCACCGCTCTTTGCCGCGGCCCCTTTAAACCCATCCCTCCGACCTCCGAGTCGGAGACTCTGACGGGCCCCCGCGGGAACGTACGGCCCTGAAAAGTGGATGTTGGAGGCGTGTGATTATGTGTGTGAGATGCTAGATAAGTATGCGTAGAGTACGAAGGTCGGAACGGAACACGTTGGGATATTTGACTCGGTTTCGTAACCGTGGCGAACTGTACCTGTGGTTATTGAATAACTGCACCAAATATATAATTTCTAAATATATTCGGATATTCTTTCGATACGGTTTAATTGTGCTAGTCTAGACGCGACGATAATCCGTTATACCTGGGAGAAAGTGATAATGATACATTGTAATATATCTTAATTTAAAGTTGCTGTTAATTTTAATATATACAGAGTATCTCATTTTAAAAGATCCACACAAATATTTCAAAACCCATAAGTTTTAGAAGGAAACTTTTTAGACAACAGTTGCTTAGTGTTGAGGGGATTATTTGATGTGCGTGTGTGGTGACCTTTATTTGACCTTGGGTTAAGGTCACAGCACTATTTCAAGGTCAACTTAGTTTTTCCAAACAGAAACCTCTATTTTTTATTACATATTCTTGTAGTTGATGTCGAGACGTTTACAAAACACTATAATAATTAAAGCTCTTTTTCGTTAAAAATTTCCTGATATTTTAAATTCTATCTTGATATTTTTAATATAAAATAGAAAATATCTTGTAAAGTATTCACTTTTTTATAATTTTACCTTGATTCTTTTATACGTCGAATAATGAAAGAAATCGAATAAAAATATAAATTTTTATATTTGCAATTTTGCAAAATGTATTGCAATAGAATTTTTCTAAATATTTTTTTATTATTTTTTTACAACAATTAATTTCTTTCATTATTTCACGTTTAACCCTCAGGGTACAGACTATAAAAAAGTTACGTTCCGTACGGACATGGGTTAGCCTAACCCGGCGACTTTGATTGACTGTATATCAGGCTGTAATTTGTCAATTAAAACAAATTTTTTTTCTTTGGATCGAAAATTTTCTCAAAAATACAATGGCGTTGATAGATTTATTACATTACTTGTTTAAATAAAAATACATTTGAAAATGTAAACCATTCTAAAAAAATTTTCATAAAAATTTACTTTTTCTTTTAAATTGCATAACTTTATGAAAAAAAGATATCGACATTTTTAAGTCGCGTTTGAAAGCTAAAAAGTTGTTCTTTGAAATGGCTGAATTCGTTTTTTGATCCATTACAAAAAGTATATTTTTTTTGAACTATGAAAATACCCGTCTTTTGCGATAGCGATATAACGTTACTTGCTTGATTTATCGTAATAACGCAAAAAAAAATATCTTAAAGTAAAAATAGTTCTTTTGGATGTTGTTGATTAGTATAATATAATTAGTATAATATAAATAAATAACAAAAATTGAAATAATATTAACATGCATGCACGGATACGTTATGCTGGTATGCTACAGAGCATCATTTTAAGGTTAGAATGCACAAAAGTATATTAAAAATAGTAAATTATACATACCAGAATAAAAAAAAGGGGAAAAAAAACTTTACTGCAGCAAATACTCGAAAAACACAAATTTTTTTTTTTTTTGAAAAACACGGATTTTGTAACGTTCCGTATGGACTGGGTGTAGACTACCCGAGTTCAATTTTCAAAATCGTATAACTTGAGCACCAAGCGTAGACTGACGCTGCCCCTTGGCGCTCACATAGTAGCTACCTCAAAGATTTTTCCCCCCGGTACGGACCTCCACCATTCACTTTCTTTGAAATGGCGCGCTCCGCCTAACCGAGTAAGTAAGGAAACGATGAAAGTAGTGGTATTTCACCGGCGATGTTGCCATCTCCCACATATGCTACACCTCTCATGTCTCCTTACAGTGCCAGACTAGAGTCAAGCTCAACAGGGTCTTCTTTCCCCGTTAATTTTTCCATGCCCTTGACAGTTCGCTAGATAGTAGATAGGGACAGTGGGAATCTCGTTAATCCATTTCAAAATCATTAATCCTTTCAAAATTCGCTCGGGTTACGCTAACTCACTGCGTACCCTGAGGGTTAAAACTATTAGAGTAAAATCATTGAAAAGTGAATACCTACTTTACGAGATATTTCATATTTTATATTAAAAATATCAAGATAGAATTTAAAATATCTCAGGAAATTTTTAGCGAAAAAGAGCTTTATTACAGTGTTTTGAAAACGTCTCGATATCAACTACAAGAATATATGATAATTTTTTAGGTTTTTGTTAGGAAAAACTAAGTTGACCTTGAAATAGTGCTCTGACCTAAGGTCAAATAAAGGTTACTACACACACACACGCATATCAGATGACTCTTTTAACACTAAATAACTTTTGTCTGAAGAGTTTCCTTCTAAAACTTACAGACTTCGAGATATTTGTGTGGATTTTTGTGCTGGAAGCTTTTAATATAGGTAATATAGAATGTCTCAGGTTTTTCCGTACAAAAATTAGAATTTCTTCAGTACGAAATTCTAACTTTTGCTATAACTTTCTAATAAATCATTTTGGGGTCTATGTTTATGTACATTTTTTTTCTTATTTTTGCTCATAGAACATTATACTACTAAAGTTTGTACGGAAAAATGTGGGACACTCTGTATATGTTACATTTTACATTTAAAAAAAAAAACTGTTCAGGAACTTTGTAAATTAACACTTAGTATTAAAAGTTTCATAACATCCGGATTGTGTTGCGTTTGAGAAATGGCATCCTGTAAAAAGAGTGCCATACAGGAATGTATACATTTCCTTATCTTTATTTACTCCGCTCACAAACCGCGCCGAAAGGTAGTACTGCACGAGTGTCAGGATATAAAGGCAAATTGGTTCCATTTTTATGGATTTTGATAGCGGTTGTCGGCCATTGCCATTCGCACTTTTGCGAGAACCTGTTTCAACGTCGCGGTTCGGAGGGAAACGGCTCATAATCATTCAAGAATCCGAGACACGCCGGGCTCGACGAGAGCTGTGACGGTAAGAGATACGAAGCGAGATGTATAGAAAGATATAGAGAGTGCTCGTATTTAGAAATGGTTTCAACTGAAGGAGGACGTGACTTAATAGCATTATTAAAATAAGCTCAACGGTAGCGGCGGCGGCGGCGGCGCTATTACTCCATAGAAACCGGTCGTTTTAATAGAGTCGTAACTTGATATGAGGATAGTGACACTAATCACCGTAATATGCATCAAGCACCTTTATTGTCCGGTCACGCCTCTCGAGTCCTTACGCGCACGAGCATGAAGAACTGGGGATTTTAATCTTGGAAAAGATTATTTAAAAAAGAGAGAAGTTAAAACGCTGCATAAATCTCGTGCCGAAGAGATGTCTAATATCTTTCTTTGCAAAGAGTAATGAATGGTAAGTGTGCGATAACGCGATGGAAAAGGTATTATATTATCACTATCAAAAACTGAATTTATTAGAATATGTACAATGTGAGAAAAAAATATACACACGTGCTCAATACATACACATACGCAATATAAGTACATAACAAGGTATATGATAAAAATATTTGTGTGTGTATATTGCAAAATATATATCACAGAGAATAAGATTTCTTTGGATTTAATTTTTATAGCATCCAAACAAAGACGATTAGAATGGTCCAAACAAACTAATATTTCGATCAATAACTACGATTGTTAGATTTTTCAAAGAATATGTATCTTCGTCTTAAATAAAAAAGTTGTTTTAAACGAAAGACATGTTCTCTTTGGCTTCAATGATATTGTTTTATTCAAACAATATCAATGCTTTATAAAAAATCTCTGAAAAAAATGTATTGTTTTACATAAATAATTAGCTTATTTTACTTAAATAATTATATATTATTTATTTATTTATATATGTAGCGGTCGACTACCACATATATATAAATAAATAAATAGTAACTAATTGTTATATCTATCACGCGGATAACCCGGGTGATGGATTCTAATGATGTGTAGAACTGTGAGTGTTAGATAAGGCGCTTTCATCGTGGAGTTTTATACTAAAGAAAAATAAAAACACTTTTATTATATAAATTCGGTTCAAGTTATCCATTAAGCCTAGTAAGAACTTGATCTGTTCACTGGTTATCGAGATCTCAAAATCTCGGGTACTCGCAACTCGTCGCGTAAAAGATCCACGATGCGGTCTCACTTCACATACCTACTTGGCGCGAGACACTGTGTCTCTTGATACAATCTCTGGTCAAATTTCACATTTGAGTAATTAGGCCGCCTAGAGGTGAAAGCGCTTATCATTCGCAGTGACTTCGGAATTTTATCAAAAATGGTAATAGTTATTTATTGGAAGATATCACTTTAAATAATAGTGTTCTTTCGGGGATAATGTTATTTCTGGGGCCCTTCAATTTGATAGGTGTATTTGATAGATCTTACGCTGAGAAAAAGAATTCCGCAAACCACAATGCGCTACGATGCATAGTTTTTGAGATATCGATTTTTAAATGTAATAACACCAATATTGTTGTATATGGTATTATATATAGGGTTTGCAATTTACCCCGTGTGGAAAGTTCACGCATGTACTTTGCAAGGCACACTATGTGTCTAGTTTAACGGTAGTGGAGCCCCAGGGGGGCGGAACCTATACTGCCTCCACGCATACACTTTCCACGCGAAACGAGGTGTCACCATCAAGTGCCACTTTTCAATATCCTCTAACCATTCTCTGCTATAACAAATTATTTCTGTTACAGATATTAAATATTTTTACACAATGCAACTTTTCATACGAAGCGATGAAAGAAGAAAAAACGGGTTTTTAACTTTTCACGCGAACCGAGGTTCATCCCCACCCACCTGCTTGCGGGATAGGGGCGGTAGCCTCTCTCCCGCTTACGTGTATACTGTTTCTCTCTTTCTCTCTCTCTCTCTCTCTCTCTCACTGCTAATTTTGTGTATATTATTATATACTATGTGAAAAATTATATTTGATATCTTGAAAACTATGCATCGTAGCGCATTGTGGTTTGCGGCATTCTTTTTCTCAGCGAAAGATCTATAAAATACACCTATCAAATTGAGGGCCCCCCGAAATAACATTCTTGCCGTTTTTTCCACTAAATAATATAATTTTCTTGAATAAAACACAAAATTTAAAAAAAATTTCGTATAAGTATATGTTGTTTTAATGAAACAAATAGGACTACTAAATGTAAAGAAACCTTTTTCTCTGTGATATATTCTCACATTGAAATTTCTATATTTATATGATTCTTACGCGTGTTCTTTACGACTGCCGGCTAAAATATTAAATATTACTAAAGTGAGTCGTTACGCCGGCCATTTGAGAGGGCTCGTGATTAAGGTATGGACGATACGTAAATGCCCCCGAGGGGGATCATTTGCGCTCTCCTCTCGTTCCGCGCGAGAGAGCAAGAAATAGAAGAGGTGGGCGAGAAAAACGAGGAAGCGCGATGGAAATAAACCGGACGATGACGATGAGAAATATCTAAATTAACGTGAAGGAGGAGCGTGGCACATGTAAGATTAAGGCTGGCTTGCCCGATATGACCGTCCTGCCCCGACATGATACATCGCTACTTTATACGAAATAAACGATTCTACGAGGAAGCGCACTCGCATACGAGAGATGTTTTCGCAAATTTCGATGCGGCAAGGTATAGAGATGATTTATAAAAGCACCGGACTGAGGCCTTTGAGTAGTAAAGTGTAAAAGGGTGAGTGGTTGAAGAAAGCAAAAAAGAATTTTATTGAAGTGAAACTTCTTTAGGCACGTGAGTTTGATTCGCGACACGAAAAAGTGTAACGGAAGTGAAACTTCTTTGGTACGGTAGTAAGTTCGATTGTGCGACACGAAAAGTGTAACGAAAATTTGACCAATAGGCGTACGGCGTTGGCGAGATGGTTCTTCTTCTGGCACGGTAGTAAGTTCGATTATGCGACACGAAAAGTGTAACAAAAATTCGACCAATATATAGGCGTACGAAATGAAACTTCTTTGGTACGGTAGTAAGTTTGATTGTGCGACACGAAAAAACGTCACGAAATAGTGTCACGGAAATTCGACCAACAGGCGTACAAAGTAAACTTCTTTTGGATCAGTAAGTAAATTCGATTTTGCGACTCGAAATTAAACGCGTCACGAAAATTCGACCAGGCGTACGGCACTGGCGAGATGGATAACTGCGTGTAAAGCCCGGTTTTCACACGCAATGATTAGTGGCGCCAACTGACTGGCATTCATTGGCGCCAGAACCGACTAGCAAACTCACAAGTATTTACACAGTAATTGGCGTATAATATGGAAAATATTTAACATTTATTAAACACACAGTAAATGACAGCAAGCATATAACCTCAGAATTTGAGGTTACATGCTTTGGCCAATAGCCGCCAGTAAACGTCACATTACTAGCGCCAGTTTGTATCAAGTGTTTACACTTGCATTTTTACTGGCGTTAGTCGACTGGCGCGGCCTGGCGCCACCAATCATTGCATGTGAAAACCGGCCTTAACACTATATTTTTGAGTTGCGGGCGGCTTGGAGTGACTAATTCCGTTGCATTGTTTTTGTATTAATTTTAGAAAAGTTATGGCAAAGCCTTGCCTTCAGAAGTTTCACTTCTAACGCGCGTGGCGACCACGCGTTTATTTTTTTTTTTTACTTTCAAGTTTGTGTTGACGCGTAGATTAATGTCTTTTAATATCTTTAATACTTCTTTTATAATATTAACACGCAATTTCTAACTAATACACATATCAAAGAATATTAAAATATCATGTTAATTAACTCTTCATCATCAATCTGGGACTTTAAGACTTAAAGACCCAAGCAAAATTTTTTTCTTGCATTTTTTCTTGGAGAGAAGGAAGTAGTGTATGGTATCCTTCCTTAAAAAAAGTTAATAGTAGAGAAGAGGTTTCGCTGCCGCGGTGACGCCAGTTTCCATTAATGCGTGTTCGAGCAACGACCCAGTAAAATTAAGTCTGTACCCTACACGACCCAGATTGATGACGGCGTTAGTGTTTATCGACATAAGTAAATGTCGTTTTTTTATTTTTTCACTATAATTTTAACAGTTTTTGCTAATTAAAATACTTCTATCATTAGTAGAGTATTATTTACAAAATGGCGGAGAGAAACGCCAAACAAAACAATATTTACTTTTTATTTATAATTTTCTTTTATATTTGTAATGATATATTATATAACTAACAATTTTTTTATAATAAAAATTTATTTCTTAGCAAAAGCAAGTTAAACTTTATTTTTCTCTGTATTTAGGATACAAATAAACCCCTCTAAATACCATTTTTATTTGTAAAAATAATTATACTTTTTGAAATCAACCCAAATAAGACTACATTCTTTTGAAAGATTAAAAATTGAAGTACAAAACTCTGTAATAATTTTTATTAATATTTATTTGTTGCAAAGTTATACATTTTTACACAAAATTTAATTTTTTTCCCATTTGTGTTCAAATTTTGCTTCGTATAAACAATTAGGTTTAATATTTGGCTTTAAAACTTATTGAATACCTATATTGTAATATAGATGTTGACAAGTAACTGAGAATTTTTTTGTATTTTTTGAAAGCCTAGAACATAAAAATAACATAGGATGGATTTTTTTCTAGGCTTAAGGGGCTCCTGTTTTAATTTATATTAAGCACATGTATGTATTAATTACACTTTATAATTTATAAAATATAATAATTAATAAAATAATAAGAATAATAAAAACAATTTAAAAATGAATCACCTACATATATTTTATGTGCAACATAATACAAATTAATATAAACAAAATTTAGATATACATTATAAAAATATATAATTCTAAAAATATTTATTAATACATTCGTAGAAGTCATACAATGTTCGTTAATTTTATTTACAGGCTATAATTTATATGGGTCTAGTAGAGATTTAACTACATAAAACAGAATATTATCTTCTAATAAAGATTCCAAATTTGCTGATGTGCTAAGGCAAGGAATTGGTCTCGGTGAAGTTGGCACCTCACTTTCAAAAATCGGAAGTTTTATCAACAGTTCCATTTGCACCCGCAATAGTTCTACAGTTCCTGATAGGTTTTAGAAATAGTTCCGTCGATTTAGTTAAAAAAAATGACTTTTGAAAATATAAGATGCTGACTTCCCTGGCATCTTATGTTTCGAAAAAATCAATTTTAACCATGATATTTTATATTCTCGAAGAGTTTACAGTTCCTGATAGGTTTTAGCAATAGTTCCGGTCAAGTATTTTTAAACAAATTTTTAATCTGACCGCGAGCACCTCAAGTTCCAAAAAAATTGATTTTTACCATCAAATTCTATAGTTCTCGAAGAGTTCTACAGTTTATAATAGGTGTCAGCGAAAGTTCCGCCATCTTTGCACCCCCCCTCCCCATGCACGCACATTTCGGTGTCCAACTGCACAGGCCGCGCATTTTCGTGTCCATCTGCACAGGCCGCGTATTCTGGTGTCCAACTGCATAGGTCGCGCATTTCGGTGTCCAACTGCACAGGCCGCATTTTTTACGGTGTCCAACTGCAGAGGCCGTATTTTTTATGGTGTCCAGATGATTCGTGTCCAAATACATGGTGTCCAAATGAACCGTGTCCAAATGAACCGTGTCTAATTGATCGTGTCCGAATGATCGTGTTCAAATGAACGGTGTCCAAATGCACCATGTCTAAATGAACGGTGTCCGAATGCACCGTGTCCAAATAAGCGGTGTTCAAATGCACCGTGTTCCAAATGAACGTTGTCCAAATGCACCGTGTCTAAATGAATGATGTCCAAATGAACCGTGTCTAAATAAATGGTATCCAAATGAACGGTGTCCAAATGAACCGTGTCCAAATAAACGGTGTTCAATTGATTGTGTCCAAATGAACGGTGTCCAAATGTACCGTGTTCAAGTGCACTTCTCCAAAAAGATTATATAGTCACTGGCAAAACTGGCAAAGAATTGAGTAAGAACTGAATAAAAAATTATATTAAATATTCAATATCAAAAGAAAAAGTAACAAGCGTAAAAAACCAATAAAAGTTAACATTAAAAATGCACTTACATGTTCACAAAACGACAGCGTACAACACACAGTTCTTTACACTTAAAACTTACGATCTGAAATGCTTGCTTTCCGGAATTATGACACGAGCAAATGATATTCAAATGCGTGAACTTTGATTGTTGATTTACTTTGACGCGTATTTAACACTGTTTTGCGCACACGCCATTTGAACTTCGGATGACGTGACATCTTTTCCTTTGCTTGGACTTTCATCGCATATTATGTCGTAGTATATAGTATTATATTGTAGTATGAGAAAATATGCACAAATGGAAATTTTTAAGCGTACAGCGCAACTGAACAGAAATAACGCAACACCTACCACAGCGCGACGCCTATACCACATATCATCTCGTCTTTCCAAAAATCGAATAATGGTATCATAATCAAGAGACACGGTAGTGTCTCGTGCCAAGTACACGCGGAGCGAGACTGACCGTGACTCTTTTACGCGACGCGACGGGTTGCGAGTACCCGAGATGTTGAGATCTCGATAACGAGTGAACGGATCAAGTTCTAAGTAGGCTTGATCGATATAAAAATATACATAGATGTATTTGGCATTCGACGCTCTTAAATTTTTGCGTTGGAAAAATTGTTATATTTTGCAAAAATAATAGGTGGGTGTGGGGTTAAATTAAAAAATTTGACATATTTGAAAAATGTGATTACGCCATTGTAAAGAGCACAAAAAACCATAAACCTTTTGTACAAAACTTTTTTTTCATACGCCTTATATTTTCGAAGATATTCGCTAAAAACTATAAAATCCGTTATTTTCGAGGGGTTGTTTCAACCCCTAAATGTCGAGATAAGCAGCTAAAAAAAATACAAGTCTAATATTTTTTTATGCTCTACAACATATCTAAAGCCCATCCAAATCGGTGAGAGACACTTCCAACCGTTCCTTTGTTAGTAAGATCTGTTATTGAGATGAATATTACCACATGCCTCGGTGGTCGAATTGGTACGACGCCCTACACGGAATGAGGGAGGTTCCAGGTTCAAACCCTGGCTGAGGTAATATTTTTCGCAATAAATTTAATTATTTAAATTTAATTAAATGAGATGCTTAGATATAAGTATCAAAGATTACTTCAATTTAAAAAGACCAAAACCCATGGTCGAAAAAGTCTTAACGACTAATCTGACCAAAACCAATGGTCAAATTGTCACGACATTAGCCAAACGTTGTCAAATATAAAAATATAGTCTTTCTCGTTTATTAATTATTGGCGAAACAAATACATATGATTTTCTATAATTTCATAGTTGTCAAATTTTAGTACTTGTAACTACTTTTCCAAAGTAATAGGAACTAATGTAGTACTAAATACTATAAAAATATAGTCACAGAAACACATTTATAGAAAAAATGTGTACCAGCAACTACAAATTTGTAGTAAAAGTAACTAGAAATTTGTGGACAAATAACGCCTCAACTATGTATCATAAAGTTATATAAACTACAAAAAAATAGTGGCGCGGGCGGCAGCGCGGACTTGCGCGACGAGAGTTCGGCTCACGCCCGCTACGCGGCGCATCGCCAGATCCTTTTCGCGTAATTAAAATTCAACTGATTCCTATAACTAAGGCCGCTCAGCAGGGTTTCTCCAGTGATTCTTCTCAGGATCGCCAGTCAGGGCGTGCTCACCCACATGTATCAATCAATTTTGAATTATAAATCTGTATAATATATATATATATATATATATATGTATGTAGGTCCAGAGGTATGTTCCGGGACTTACGTTTTTTGAAATGTACAGTCCTGGAATATAACGCATATATATGTAATCAGATTCAAAAAACTGTTCCGAAAATTGCCGTAGGACATGAATTTTTTCCAGGACAGTCCTGAAAACTGCCAAATGTCCCGGAATATACCGATATCAAAAATAAAAGTCCCGGAACATACTTCCGGACCTACATATGTACAGTCCTGGAATATAACGCATATATATGTAATCAGATTCAAAAAACTGTCTCGAAAATTGCCGTAGGACATGAATTTTTTTCAGGACAGTCCTGGAAACTGCCAAATGTCCCGGAATATACCGATATCAAAAATAAAAGTCTCGGAACATACTTCCGGACCTATGTAGGACTTTTATTTTTGATATCGGTATATTCCGGGACATTTGGCAGTTTCCAGGACTGTTCTGGAAAAAATTTATGTCCTACGGCAATTTTCGGGACAGTTTTTTGAATCTGATTACATATATATGCGTTATATTTCAGGACTGTACATTTCAAAAAACGTAAACAGTCCCGGAACATACCTCTGGACCTACATATATATATATATATATACTAGCTGGTTACCCGGGCTTCGCCCCGGAAGACATATATTATGTAATAAGACACGCAAATACTCTCTCTCTCTCTCTCTCTAAAATGCTATAAATTAAAAAATATTACTTTTTTATCCACTAAAGTTTAATTCCGTCGTATACAATTCTTTGAGATTCACTCAATTATTTCCTAAAAAATTGGAAAAATTTCGTAACCGATTTCCATAAAAATATCGGTTCCCAAAAAGATCGGTATCGAAAAACTATACAGAGCACTCCCCGGAAAATTCTACCCTTGTTTTATGTACAATTCTTTGAGATTCGGTCATTCGGAACCGGTTTCCGAAAAAATAAGATCGGTAACGTAAAACTATACAGTTTATAGCACTCCCCGGGAAATTCTACCCCTATTTTATACACAATTCTTTAAAATTCGATCAATTATTTCCCGAAAAATTCGTCAAACTTCTGATATCAGCTTGCAAAAAGATTGGTAATGAAAAATTATATACTTTATAGCACTCCCCGGGAAATTCAACCCCTACTTTATGTACAATTCTTTGAGATTCGGTCATCCGAACCGATTTCCAAAAAGATCGGTAACAAAAAATAGTACACTTTATAGCACTCTCCAGAAAATTTTACTACTTCATGTATAAATTTTTGAGATTCAATCAATTATTTTCCGAAAAATTGGAAAAATTAAAAAAACTGGTTTCCAAAAAAATTGGTAACAAAAACTATACACATCATGGCGCTCCCCGTAAAATTCTACCCTTACTTCTTTAAGATTCGGTCAATTAATTCCCGAAAAATTGAAAAAATTTCCGTACTGGCTTCCAAAAAAACCGGTAACGAAAAATTATACACTTTATAACACTCCCCAGGAAATTCTACCCCTGTTTGATTTATAATTCTTTAAGATTCGGTTAATTATTTCCCGAAAAATTAGATAAATTAGAAAAAACGGTTTTCAGAAAATTGGTAACAAAAAACTATACACATAGTGGCACTTCCCGGAAAATTCTACCTCTATTTCATATACTTTTGGTAAAAATTCGGTTCAGGGTAATTTTCTGATATTTTAATTGTTTCTGATCTTCGTTTAATATCAGAATATAATAATATTTTAACAAAAAACGAAGATCAGAAACAATTTATTGTCCAAATAGTAAAAGAATATAAAAAAAATATTCCAAAGCGAAAAAGGAGACACTCATAAAAGATTTTTGAAATAAATAATTTTATAAAAATATTGAATTTTTATTTAAGACTACGAATAAATAAATATATATATAAACGAAATTATAGAAAAAAATAAATAAACAAAATTCCTTTGATTTTTTAAAAATTAAAAAGAATTATTTTCATCGACCACTAGCAACCTGAAATATGTAGATAAAAATCTATAAAAATTTCAGAAGATAGGTACACACGGGGACAGGAATGCCTTCTCACTTGAAATTGCACGCGTATCAGAGCATATTCAGAGCGCGTGCTCCGTCTCTAGATATTCGTTCATCATGACTGTAAAGGTATCCTCACAAGACTTTCGTACAGTAATGCAGCGTAACGTAACGTGGATCAGCGCACGAGAAACGTATCGGTTAAGGTGTTATACGTTTTTTGTGCGTTGATCTATTATACGTTACGTTACGCTACATTACTATACGAGAGTCTTGTGCGGAAGCTCTTAATTACTCGGCAAAGTTGTCCCAAGATATATTTTAAGAATATTTTATAATAATATATTTCAAATAAATAAATAATTCATTAATAATATAATCTTAGGGTGTATTAATTAATAATATAATATCAGGGAAAGTTACGTTTGAAAAGTAACTCATCGTTACCGTAATTCGTTACTCATTGAAAAAGTAACTTATCGTTACCGTATACAACTCGTTATTCTTAAAAGAAGCAACTCGTTACCGTTACTCGTTACTCATTGAAAGAAGTAACTCGATCATCGTTACCGTAACTCGTTATTCTCATTGCAAGAACACCGAAAGAACGGTTTTGCTGAAGATTCAAAAAATTTAGCTAGATATAGATCTGAAAATAATTTGATTATATTTTGTTGCACCATCAAAATAATTATGTAGAACGTTTAAGGGGATCCTGCAGCCGTATGATTTACCGACATTATTGTTTTTTGATGGATCTTTTAATTGGCTTTACAGAATTGCAAGTTTTTGGCCTAGAATTAAAGTACGCACAAAAATCTAGGGCAAAAAACGCGATTTTATATCAAAAACGCCAAAAAATTAAAAATGTTACTTATTTGGGCACATACGCAGCTGTCACCTGACGACAATATTTGCTTAAAACAAAAATTCTGCAGTTTATACATACATAATTTTTATCATCTGCCCTTGGAAAAACATGTAGGAATAATATCGTGCAAGTAGAAGTAAGATTCAATGCGTACAAAAAAAGATCCATCGAAAAATTATTTTAGTAATGCAAATACGGATGCAAATGACAAGAAGAGCAGCAACAGTAGTTGCCGGATCTTGCGAGAGATGGCGAGCAATCGAAAAAAGGACAGATGTCGTTTCGTTAGACAAAGACAGATATAGGGAAAACAAAATTAGAAAGGTTGACATTATCGACATCGAGGAAGTTCGCCAGTCACTGCAGGATCCCCTTAAGGAGATGCTGGAGCCGTCTGTTTTACCGGCATTTTTTGTCGGCACGTAGCGTCGTATTAATTTGACAGAATTAAAAATCCTTTTCCAGAATTGCAGTACATACATTAATGATTCGGGGGAACTCCGATTTTATATAGAAAACGAGAAAAAATTACGGAAGTACAGATTTCCTTATCCTACTTTTATCCCAATATGGCGTCTCGAGTTGCGGCGAGCTGTCAGCTCGTCACAAGATGTATTTCATATAAGAGATATACCATTGGTACGAACGCAAAAACAAGTTCCCCCGAATTGCACAACAAGAAAAACATCGATAAACCCTCCAAATCAAGATTTGGAAGCGTAATATAAAAGTATAATGTCGATGTGCATCGTGTGTATGTGTGCGTGCAATGTAGCGTGCTATCCTTGTCTATATCTTTGTCTATACAAGGACAGATATAGTTGATAACATAGAAAATGGTAATTTTGTCGGTTATACAGATGGCTCCAGCATCCCCTTAAACTGATTTCTAAAATGTCAAAATTTTTTACAAAATTATTATTATACTCTAGCGACCTACTATAATTATTTTGATCTTGCAACAAAAATATTTTCTGTATCTAGCTAAATTTTTAGATCTTCAACAAAACCGTTCTTTCCGGGAGTAACTCGTTACCGTTGCTCGTTATTCATTGAAAAAGTAACTTATCGTTACCGTATACAACTCGTTATTCTTATTGAAAGAAGTAACTTGTTACCGTTACTCGTTACTCATTGAAAGAAGTAACTCATTGTTACCGTAACTCGTTACCGTTATTCGTTACTCATTCAAAAAAGTAACTTATCGTTACCGTAACTCGTTATTCTCATTGCAAGGACACCGAAAGAAGAAGATTTCGGTTCCGGGACGATACAGTGTGGCACGCCCACGTGCACCCCCAGGTTAGGCGAGTGAATTGTGGCAGATTAGGAGAGCAAAGGAGAGGTCTGGAGGAGAAGCTCGGGAGGGAGGAGAAAGTGGAGGAGCGAGAGTTTGCGAGAAAGTGGAGGAAAGTCGGGAAAGGGCAGAATAGAGGAGAAAAAGGGGGCTAAAACCGTGAGTGAAAGTAGGACGGACTGAGAGTATGTGAAGTGAAGAGAGGGAAGGCATTGTGAGAAGAACGGCCACAGACAGGGAACACGCGGAATATAGAAGGAGAACAGGGTGGTGAAAAAGGCGGGTTAGGGATATTGGAAAGGATAGGAAAAGGTGGTTAACGCATAGTGGACAAGAGCTAGGGGAAAGAGGGCTGCAAAGGTGGCAGATGGAGGCAGAACAGGAAAGAGTGACAGTGAGCAGGCCAACGAAAACGGAGGGGCTAGACATGAGAAGAGGGAGCGCAGGCTCTCTAGTAGCTAGTATACAGAAAAAGAAAAAAGGAGAAATCGAGGAGAAATTAACAGCGAAATTAGAAGAAGATCTACTGGAGAAATTTAACGAGCTAAAGAAGATAAACAGATCGCCGCCGGCAAAGATAAAAAAAGGTGGAGAAGGGAAAGAGAGCATAACGGTGGAGGAAATGTTGAAAGAAATTCTAAGGAAAATGGAGGAGCAGGAAAAAAAAGAAAAAAAGATAAAGAGGAGATACAAGATATAATAAAAAAGTTGAAGGAGGAATTTAAAAGGAGGGAGGAGGAATGGGGAAAGCAAAGAAACTCAATAGAGAAAGGATTGAAAAGTCTGGAGGAAAAGGTTGAAAAAGCGGGCTTGAATGGAAGGGAGAGAAAGGAGGGAGAAGTAGTAATGGAGAAATGGAAAGAGATAGAAAAAAATTTGGAAATAGCGGAGAGAAGAAGAAGGAGAAGCAATATAATTGTGAAGGAAGCGACGGGAAGAAACAAAACAGAAAGGAAGGAGAAGATTGAGAAGATGATAGGAGAAATAAATAAAACAGAAGTAGTCATCGAGGAAGTGCAGGAAATAGGATACGGAGATAATAAAATGACAATGCTGAAGTGCAGGAACTGGAAGGCCAAAAGGGAGATAATAAGAACGAGGAGGGAGTTAGGGAAAAAATATGACAGCTTGCTGGACGACGACCTCACCAAGATGGAAAGACAAATACAGAAGGAAATAAGAAGGAGAGCAAAAGAAGAAAGAGAGGCGGGAAAGAAAACGACAATTTGTTATCAGAAGATGTGGGTGGACAACAAAGAGTTGAGATGGAATGAAAACAAAGGAACTTTAGAGGAGAGGAGTGAATGGCGGAAGAAATAAAGAGGCGAAGAGGGATAGAGAGTAAGAAGACGCGGAGAAAGAGAGGAGAGAAGGGAAACCTGGGGAAAGGAGGAAGTGACAACGGAGGAGAAAGCGACAGAACAGACCAGTATCACCGCAACGTGTGCGACGGACAGACGGCAAAAGCACGGTCTTACATACAGGTCTGGACACTCCTATGGTGGGGGTAGGTCGCAGATAGTCGCCAAAAATTGTTTGTCTCTTGGCCGCGAGAGTCGCTGCGGTAGGGTAGTAAACAGAGATAGAAATATAGTCGCTCTCTGTCTCTCTTACATAATTGTACATAACCACATAACGTAGCGTAGCTTGCTATCGAAGATATAGAAAGAGTTGAAAGAGTGACCGAGTCTCATCGAAACGTGAACGTGTTCGGACGTGTTTCGTCCAGAAACATTTTTGAGAACATATCCTACAGTATATTAAAGTTGTATGTGAAAATGCCTAAGTCGTGCGTCGAGCCGAATTGTAAGTTTGTGTACTGTGAGACTTCAAAACGCCCAGTGTTTCGCGTACCAAAAGACGCCAATCGGTACAAACAATGGGTAACAGCTATTCCGGGCATTGTTACACTAAAGCCGACACACGTAGTTTGCGACAAACATTTTAAAGAGGAAGATATAATCCGTGAATGGATCAAACGAGACTCGAATGGTCGGATTATCGCTCAGGTAAGTTTATATTGAACAAATTGTACATGTGCAAACAGGATGCAATCTCATATTACATGTGTTATATTGAAGGAACCATACAAGTACCCTCAGCTCAGTAAGTTTGCTGTTCCATCAAAGTTTGATGACCTTTCTACAGCAAAGGATTGCGTTGTCCCATCGACTGAATATTTCGGTCATTTAGCTCCAAAAAAAGTTACGATTGATGATGTCGTTAACTCTGTTGGAAAGTCGTCAGTTGAGGAGTCCGTCCAAATCGCACACGATTCGATAGATCCATCAATGAAATCTGCCGCGTCTTCAAGTGCTACAAGGCAATGGAGCATTTCTGGCGAGTCCGCTGGCTTCATGAACGATTCGGTTCAGCTTATTGGCTCTTCGATCAAGGAGTCCTCTGCTGAACCAAGTATTTATTTTACAACTTAAAAAATATAATAGAATGTGTAGTAATTACAATATTTAATTCTTTTAATATTACAGCTACCAGCTGCAGTTTTGTGTTGCCAATTGTGGATGGCGCCGAATTGGTTTCACCGATGGAACTTACAGATACTGATCCTCTGGTGACAGGACCGGTAGCACTTGAGGAACCAATCGACATATATACATCCGTTACCACAAGGAAATGTAAGTTACTGAGATGAGTCTTTAATGACTCATAAGTGTGAATCATTTAACACTTATGCTTATAAATCGAGACAAAAACTTCTTGAAAGAAGATAAATTATAAATTAAACCCATGGATAAGCTGCAAAATCTGAAAAAAAAAAACGATAGATAAATAATTGTAATTAATACTGAGATACTTACCTTCACTAGTAATATACATTCATTTGATCAGCTAAAAATCTGAAAAAGAAAAATAAATTTATACGGATTTTTTATCAATAGTACTTGCTTCATTGTTATATAGATGTAGAAAACGAAAGTGGTCGTACCTATCAAGAGATTTGTAGCAAATTACCTGAATATTGGAGCGTTAGCAAGGCACCTGCTACAAACGGAAGAATTATTATATTTACCTACATGATAACGCCAGTCAAGAATGGAAAGCGTTTGCCGGTATCACAAAAATGCGTCATTCTCGACTCGGATAGAAAACTTCAGTTTTACGTTTACGGACGGGACGTTGACTCACAAAAAGCAAATCTTGACGAAACTTTGGAAGGAATCGAAACGCTTCCAAACGTCTTGAACAAATTTAAGGAGATGAACGTTTGCAGTGGCATCGGCGAAGTTAATATCGATCTTCTTCGAGCTGATACCGTATTTCAAGACGGCATTCAACAGTGGCGCAGCAAAGACTGCAGTCTTCTCTTCAAAAAACGAAGATGCGATAGCTGTATGAAAATAAGAAAGCGCATACAGGGCTTAATAACACGGAATAAAAATCGTAAGAAAAATGGAATTTTTCTAAGAAACATCGGTGCTTCAAATTCCATAGAGCGTCGTAACCTCGTAGCGCTGCGATTAAAATGCCGACGTCAAAAATGTCAACAAAATCGAGCTAAAGAACGCGAGAAACATCTGATGAGCTGTCTAAAAAAACAAGAAGAACAAATAGCTAATATGCAAGAGGCAACTTTAGATGAGAAATGCTCTGCATTAAACGTTCCAGCTGCTCAACAATTGGCACTGAAAGAAATCGTAGCCGCAGCGAGCAAGAAAGACACCAAGGGTCGACGTTACAGAGAGGACTGGATGATGTTGTGTATGCTGATGAACATCCGATCCCCGGGATACTATCAGTTCCTGCGGAAAAACAATATTCTGCCACTACCATGCTTAAAATCGGTACGCAGGTATTTATCATTAATTGATATGAAATGCGGCTTTGACGAACGGTTTGCAGAATTACTTAAAAAACATCTTGCTACAAAAACTCCTCTGCAACGACACGGCGTACTGCTGCTCGATGAAATCAATCTACGGAAATCTGTAGCCGTGTGTTCCAAGAATTTGACTTATGTCGGCTTGACAGATTTGGGCGACGACGGGCTGCGATCTTCGGACATAAGCGAACAGGCAACGCATGGTCTCGTTGTAATGTTTCAATCTCTTGCCGATACTTACACGCAGCCAATCGCAGTTTTTGCCTCAAAAAATCCAGTTGAAGGAGAAGAGCTCGCTAAGCTAATTGTAAAAGGAATTATCTATCTGGAGAAGTGCGGAGCGACAATTCACGGTGTTATTGCTGATGGTGCTGCAACAAACCAGAAGATGTGGTCGCTTCTGGATGTTAGGGGTACGATGCAAAACACCAAGACATGGTTCACTCATCCTTCAGACGATGAAAGAAAAGTGTTCGTTTTCTCCGACACGCCGCATGTGATTAAGAACATACGAAATCGGCTGTTGAACCAAAAGAAACTGCGGGTAATTTTTTATTTATACTTATTATGCTTTAAAAAAAAACATGTAAAAATTGAGGAACTAGTGGATTGACCCTCTAATAACTGATACGTACTACTATTGACAACGTCATAATAACTAGTTTATTATATATATTCTTACTCTTTTATAGCTCAATTCCACGGAGAACTACATTTGTTGGCAATATTTCGAGACGTTGTATGAGCTCGATAAAAGCCATCCAG